CATTGTTATTATAATATATATGTTACATTGTATACATATATTACATATAACTTGGACGATCCATTTGTGACAAATAAGTAGATCTTTATGCAAATTAAAAATTGTCTAAGTTAATTATGAGAAACATAAATCCGATGAAAATAACTTTCTTCTTTTAATAATCCTAAATCGAAAATAATGTTAGAATATCTTTGAACTTAAAAATCTTTAAACAGGTCAAATGAAAAACTCTCTCTCTCTCTCTCTCTCTCTCTCTCTCTCTCTCTCTCTCTCTGTGTGTGTGTGTGTGTGAAGACATTAAGATAGTTCAAAGATATTCTAACATCATTTTCAACATAGTATTATTAAAAGAGGAAAGTCATTTTCATCGAATTTATGTTTCTCATAATTAACTCGGACAATTCTTATTTTGCATAAAGATCCGTCGTCTACTTATCTGTCACTAGTAGATCGTCCAAGTTATATGTTTGGAAACTGTGTTACATTTATTTATTGGAAACGTATTAATTAACATAAATGCAAGCAAACGATGCATATTACGAATTGAATTAAAAAACCAATCTTCTTTCTCGTTCAACAATCCGACATTCCAATATTACACGACTTTTATTGCGAAAGTAGATGCTTTAAAATGAGTCCAGAGTTTTATCGTTACAAGATCATCTTTTATAATTAAAGTAGAAGCTCCGTAACTGCACTTGATTAAATAACGAATTAACAGTTAACATATTCCATTGGTATATCTGAACGAATGTTTGCATTCGATGCTTTTTGGAGCCGATCCCGAGACGGTATATTTCATTGTGTGCCGAATACGATCGGACCGATCGGACCAATCGTATCGAATCGTATCGCAAAATGTATTATTAATTTCTTGATGCGAGGGAGTGGAAGGCAATCCACCTCGCCTTTAGCAGAGGACGAGCCAGCCCGGTTTTCTGGGAATAAAGCTTTTGAAGCGTTCACCGCCGCGAAAAAAACAAATGGCGATGTTTGACGATACCATCCCGCTAAATAAAACGAATTGCCGCTACGTGCGCATCTAGCAAAAAGTTCGCTCGCGGCGCTGTTAAATCAATAGCCCGATTGTGATTGTATAAAAGCGATTCGTCAGTCTACATTCATTACAACAAAAAACGTTCGGCCGCCGGACGGTTCAATTTCGTTCCCCATTCATTTACCCCGGCAATTACAAATCCGTTATACTTTCTATCTGTTCTTTCACCTATTAAACTAACAGCGACGCCATGCTCGCAATTATCTGTAACAGACGTCGCCTGTAAGTATAAGACAGTTTGATTTTTCCTGGACGGTTGCGCGATCAGTTTTCCAAAACTCTATCGGTTGAAATCGACGACGCGGAAGGTTGAATATCGGAAACGATTTATCTGTTGCCTCGGCAAGAATCCTTGTGATTTTAGAGCGATATTCTGCAGTAGCTGCAGCAAATATTCGTACACTTTTTGAAAGGAGTATCTCTTTTAAATTGCAATTTTTGCGAATATTTTTTTTAAACATTATTAAAAATACGAGTCACTGTAGCATTTCAAAAAAATTCAAGTCGTTCGATCACGCTTTGAAAAAGTTATTTTGTTTTAAACGGTGTACGTACAGCTTAAAATACGTGCATTTTTGAATAATATTACTATTATTATGTTGAATTTTTGTAAAAAGTTAAAAAAATATCTGACACATTTATGCTAAATAAATAAATACTGTCAACAAGGAACAAATTTACTTGACCTGTTGAAATAGCATTTTGAAGACCTCTAATGACATCTCAGGAACATTAATGTATCTTTTTGAATTCTCCGTTATACTGAAGAGTTAATAAGGGTAGAATATTTTGTAGGGGTACAATGATCTATTCGCAATTGATATTAATCGTTTATAATACTTCTGGTCGCCAAAAGTTCAACGTGAAACATTTTTGCAAATAATTTTGATCGTTCATACTAGGAATAGAATTATCGAAAACATAATAAAATATAATGTGCAAACAGATAAAATTATATTATCTGGTTAATGGTAATATCAATGACATTTTTAAATAAATGACACACTTATGTATCTGTACATTGCAATCCAAGTAAAATGACTTTTTCACAGCTGATATATTCATGAAACCCTGATGATTATACAGGATTCTCAAATTGTTCAGCTTCTTAATACATTAAACTGATGGTATTGTTATCAGTATTTAATTTACTTACATAACCTATATTTTTTCATATCGGTAAAGAATGAAAATGAATGTGTATCAATGTTTGTAACAATAAGTGTATATGTCTTCGTACAAGTAACATGTAATATTATCAAACTCTCATAAAAAATGTAAACCAACGCGTATCAAGTAATTTTCAGTTACACGAATCGAACATCCATTGATAAAACTGTTTTTGTTCAGGGTGAACAGACCATTGTTGCAACTTTAAAAACTGTTTAAGCATCGCCAAAGCGAGCGTCGACGATGCACTTCGTCACCAAAAAAAAGAGGTCTGTTTTCACTCCGTTTTTCCTTTTTTCTCTTTATCTCTGCCTTTCATCGGCGTGGTTCATCCATTCGTTGATTTCGTTTCGTCGTCCCCCTATCTTTTCGTTTTCATTGCGCTGGAATCCTTTCGCAGTTTATCTGTTTCGTTTCTGCCTTTTTCGTTTGTTAATGAAAACGTGATGAGACAATTTGAATTTGTCGAAAGCGCGTCTGCCAGCGAATAAAGTGCTGCGCCAGGTAAGTTCGCGTGTATATGCAGATTCACAGAGAAATTCAGGCTTTGTTTGACGAATTATCGCGGAATTAACGGTTCCTCGGAGTTGCATCGAGATCAAGATTATAAACAAATGTTTAATCATTGTTCGAAAAAAAGATGGAATTTTTTATTAGCTGTGAAAACTAACACTGTTGATTTTAATTCCTCGTGTTTATTAATATTATTATCATCACAGTATACAAGACAGATCACATCCAACGTTTTCATTCGATTATATATTACTTTTTATTCATAATAAATCATTCATTGAACTATTATAATTACAGAAATATTGTCTCAATTTTGGCTATTCGCAATAAGCAATTTTTCTGGACACTGCGATTGTTAATTAAACAATATATTAAATAAACATATAGTTATGTATATATCTATACATTATAGTTATCTTGCTTCTTGGCAGATGTCTAATTATTATAAAAGCAATTGCGACAGTTCAGAAGCACTAATTAGGAAAAATTCGTTTTCATTTACGGTTGTCTCGCTAAACATTATTAAAAGTACCTTGTAGCTATATGTGATATGCAACATTATTTTAAAAAATCTTATTATTGTTATAATTTACCTCTTTCTACAAAGTAAAATATTTACTTTATTCACAAGGCTTCCTGTTTCTATCGAATCTGAACCTTTTTTCCGTAGCAAAATTATTTAGTTTCAAAGAATAAAATGTTTTCATTGATATCTATCGAATTCATATCTAGGCATAAATAAATAAGAATCGTACGATGTTAACAATCCGATAATTCTTTAAGGTATTTATAAAACAATTTTTTACGTATCGAATATCGACTTACACATTTCGCTAATATCGATAGCATCGAAGAAGAAAGAATAATCCCGAAGTATATTCTACTAAGCAGTAGCATTAATTTGTTTATTGCATAAAATACAATTTATTAACGGTAGAATTGAGGTCTAGCTGATTAGTCGATATCGTACGTTCCTCCCCAATGCATACTATAATCGAATTTCAGATAAGCTGTAATTGGACGTCAGCTCTGATCCAATTAAATTCGCAAAACACTAATACAACCATTTCTCAATCGAATCAGTAGGTTCAAACAAAAACATATGGACCGCGGTTTTAATCGAAATTACAATCGCGTTCAAAATCTTTCCAAATTTCATAAACAGAATGCCATTCGAGTTTCAAGTTTCAGAAGTACAGTAAATTCTCCCTAGGGGTCGCAATTGAGCAGCGTTTCATAATAGGTACTTTTACCTTAACGCAGAGTCAAGCTACAGGCATTAAGAGATATAAAAATCTTCGAATTTGTGGCAATTATCGGTGTCGAAGGTTTAAAAAAGTCCTGGCGAAACTGCAATTTTCGCCTGTTTAACTGTTTTCAGGTTATATAGCAAGGTCACCGATTTCGATGAAATTTCGAACTATCCAAAAATACCGGTATTTGCCGCACCAATTCGTTGGCAAATCCGTGGCCCTTACCTATTCAATCGTCTCTCGCTTTTGAATAGTCCATTGGACGGTGTCGATCCGCGTCCGTAGTTTCGGCAAATGACGCCAGCGCCTGGACTCCAGTCGGCTTTCTCCCTTGATCCCTTCGGTCGCGCCACTGTCATCGTGCCCTTTCCAAATCCAATACATCGTCCAGTAATTTGCGCCCACGCTAATACGTTCCCGGGGCTGGTTTCCGACGGTCTTCTGGCCTTTTTTTCCCCTCGTCGTGACGCCGATGTGTGCCCACGGTCACAGGAACACGGCCGGGCACGTTGAGCCGGACCACGCACGCCTAAGCGCGTGCAAATGGAATGGGAGGGGCCGGAGGCAAAACTCCGGAAAATTGAAATTAATGAATAAACTGGTCACCCTTCCTCTCGCGTTCGGCACTCCGCAGCTTTCGGGCGTGCGAGAACCCTGCGCGCGGAACACCGTCGAGGAACAATGGGGAACGTGGCCGCGATAGGAACGACGATATAACGACGACACCGGAGCCGAGGGATTGTCCCTTCCGTCCTTCGCTCGTCCTTCGGAGACTTCGCGATCTTCTTCGCGTTCCGTTACAGGCGACAAATGCTTTTTTAATGAGTTCCTCCGGCGAGACGGCCAGCTCGCGAGCGAGCCATCGCGCCGAGATTTTGTACCGTGATGAATTATGCAGGCCGGACGCGACTATCGGGTGCTAGGGATACGGTCACGAATTGTTTAGGAATCTCTTTGCCGTGCGGCGGTTCTAACGTCCGCGGCACTTCCGCCTTGTTAATTTGCAGACGAACGATCCCTGCGAGAAGGCCAGGGCGCTGGCCGTGTCCAGGTCCGCCCTATACTGCCGCAACCTTGTACAGGAGGGCACCTTCGGACGCGTTTACAAGGGGACCATGGAGCTGGCTGGCCGTGAACGGGAGGTCATCATTAAAACTGTCACAGGTGAGGAACGTCTGATTAAACAATTATCTGTGTTCGACGAGTATAGTCGTCATGAAGAAGTGGCAGTATTTTGTGTCATGACGAGTATACTCGTCGTGCGTAAAAAGTAGTGACCATTGGCTATTTAAATTGTAATTTTAGTGAAAAGAAAAACGTATTCTCAAATTTCAAGATGTTTAGAATATTTTTTGGGCGTAAAAAGTAGTGACCATCGGCTATTTAAATTGTAATTTTAGTGAAAACAAAAACGTATTCTCAAATTTCAAGATGTTTAGAATATTTTTTGGGCGTAAAAAGTAGTGACCATCGGCTATTTAAATTGTAATTTTAGTGAAAACAAAAACGTATTCTCAAAATTCAAGATGTTCAGAATATTTTTTGGGCAATCTTACACTAAGGTGTTTACGTTATTATAAAAATAAGATCAGAAAGGAATCACGATATTGAGGTTCGACGTGCAAAGTGCCATTATTTATCGTTCCTTGCTTTGCTGAATACCACTCTACAGCAGCAATTTTTAACTTTTATAATGTTTTATAATGTTTTCTATAATCTTTTATAATGATTCGAATTATATACAAATTATTTTGCCAGCCGATTTCGGTTATAGTAAAATATCTTTTTTATGAGAAGAGAATCGGAATGGAAAACGGTACCCAATTTCCCTCTTCATGCACAAAAACTATAGTAAAAGATCGTTTCAATTTAGTGATTACTATCTATGTAATCGACTATCACAGTCGGGCGAAATTTTATTCGGATGACGAATAAGCGATAAAGATTGATTAATAAAATTTTATTCGAATAAAAATTTATCTGGATAAAAACTTGTCGGACAATTTGAGAAATATAAATATTTGATATATAAAATTTCAATCTTAATATACTGTCGCAAACCCGTTTTGTTAAATGACGTCATATAACTGTCTGGGTTTATTATAAAGAATTTTTCTTTAATATTCTGAGGAAATAGAATCCTATTCTTCTTTCAATCTTGTTTGCAATTCATTTTTTAAACTTATTATTATTTTAAGCTTTTCTAATTCTATGGTCCAATTCATCCCATAGATTTTCTATGGAATCTAAATCTGGAGATTGTAGGGGTAGATGTAAAGCTTGTGGGCAATTATATAACAAATATTCCTGTACTATTCGGCGCTTATGTTTGGAATTATTCTTTAGCAAAATTTAAAAGTACTTCGGATTCACATATTGTTTGCAATAGATTGTTTAACCTATTGAAATAGTTAGTTACATTATTGTAGGTTAGTCATAACTGTTGAAATAAATAATTATACTATAAGAAAATTTACAAAAGAATCTTATTGTAGTGTTCTCAAATTAATTTAGAGATCCATCAAGAAAATGGAAAATAAATTAGTGGAACATAGAATCTTTGGGAATTCTTAAAATGGGTCTCACATTAGGTACTAATTTTGTTCAATTAAAGTAAATTCCATTGAAAAGAGACATTGTACCGTTTAGACAATGTTTGAACAAACATGTAAATAATAAGGCACAGGAATAACTTAACATAATTTCAAATTTGAAATTCATATTTTTCATCTGTATTCGTGTAATTTTCGTTTTCATTTTAGTATGAAGCAACTAAATTTTATATATTTATATTTTCTAATAGATCGCGGAAGACAGAGATTTTAACAAAACAGATCTTAATCTTCAGACCCATATGTGCATACAATTTGAAATCCAGTTTTACCACGACATTTTAACTGAAATAACGATTCTTGATAAAGTAGAGAATCTTATACCAACTGTTGATGTTCTAAACGCTGACCTAAACCATGAACGATCTGTAAGATCGATGTGTAGATTTACACAGATTTAGGATCTGTACAGCCATTGCATCTTATGGGCTTTTCTATCTCAGCGACTCTGGAGCCCCTTTACCATTTCGTGTCGCGCTCAGGGTTACCGATAGTTCACGAAAAGTAGGCACGTTAGCATGAAGCGAATATCCTGTATATTTCATTTCTACTACGAGTGCTGAATATTATTTGGAAGAAATAATATTATATATTATTATATAATATATTAAAGAAATATTAAAGAAATATAAATAATAAATATATTAAAGAAATATAAATAATAAATATATATTAAAGAAATACGATATAAAGTGTAATTATTTTTATGGCCGATTGAATAATTATTTCTACTAATTACGTAATTAGTGATGGTATACATATAGCAATAGTTTCATACATATTATCTTGCAGATAGTTCGTTTCGAAATGCAAATAATGCAAATAATGCAAAAATCGCGATGAGCATATCAGTGCTGTTCGTTGGGACGTCCATTGCTGCAGCTGCAACACGAACGTCTGAAATGTCGGAAGGCAAACTATTGCAACGCGAATGTTTCATCGCGACGCTGATACAATGAACAGAAATGCAAATGATTACTTTAATTTCTAGAAGCAACGACTTTGAAAAATCTAAAAAGAAACTGACGAGTCTAAGCACGATTAGTTCGCAACGCTGTATTCGAAGCAACTGTACTCGACAATTTAAAGAAGAATCGAGACTATTCGCAACGCTAACTTCGATTTCTGTTGAAAATTATCTAAAGCAACGCGTGATCATTTCGCTACGCACGATTATTTCGCAACGTTATTTGCAAATCGCGGACGTGTCCATCTGTACTGATCGTTGGGGCGGCGAGGCATGCCTATAAGCAACACTACTGCTACAACTATTATTGGGTTGGCAACTAAGTAATTGCCGATTTCAGTTAATCAGGTTGCGCATTTTATGCATGTATAGCAAAAAGATAATAAAAGGTAAAAGAAGAAATACATTTTCATTGAACATCTGTTCCTTTTGATTAATACAAATCATTTTTACTTTGCATAAAGTACGCAATATAATCTGAATGTCATGTACATAATACGAATATAATATAAAGTCCTAAAAATAGTATAAAATGTGAATATATCTTCGATATTATATTGGGTTGGCAACTAACTAATTGCCGATTTCAGTTATAGATGTCTCTCACTCCCATTTTCATGATCTCCGTAAATGTTATATTATAAAATTATTATTATTATTATGTTATTTTTTATTATCCGTGAATGTTAGCAACTGGACAAATTGAATGCAGCGGTCAAGGAAAAGCGACCAGAATTGGTCGATCGTAAAGGTGTCATTTTCCAGCAGGACAATGCTAGGCCGCACACGTCTTTGTCCACTCGGCAAAAATTCATGGATATTGCTTGGGAATTGATGTTACACCCACCATATAGCTCTGATCTCGCGCCATCGGATTACCACTTATTTCGATCCCTGACAACTCCCCTCGTGGTAAAACTTTTAATGACGATGACGCTGTAAAATCTCACTTAACTCAGTTTTTGACCGAAAAGGATCGGACTTTCTACGAGCGTGGAATTTTCAAGTTGTCAGAGAGATGGCAAAGGTCATCGAACAAAATGGAAAATACATTACAGATTAAACTTCATTCCAAGTAAAAGGAAATGTTTTATTTCATTGAACAAATCGGCAATTACTTAGTTGCCAATCCAATATTTCTACAAACGAGTACAGTGACAAAGTGGGGTAACGACGATAAATTTGCCTTTCTCGACAGTTCGTCGCGACAGCCTCTCCTTTTTTTCGACGATTCGCCTGCTAAACCTAGAACCCTACACGTGCTCCGCAGCTAGTAGAAGATCAACGAATTCCGAGACAAAGTAACAAAGTCTCGGATAAAGTCGATAATCCTGCTGATGCAATGGAGCCGATATCGTAAGCCCTAATTCCCGCGCGTTCGTGTTCGCGACCGCGGAAGCTAAGAGAATTCTCAAAGGATCTACTTCGAGCCGTTATCGAACGTCATGCACCGTTCGAATAGACTTCCAATCAAATCCTGCGAGCTCTAGCGGTGGCTGACTATCGTATGATTCACGGCCTACCCGTAAAGAGAACGATAACACTGTCCGACACGATTTTTGAGTTCCTATAGCCACTATGAAATCCTTGTAGAGCTTCACTCCCTGACCAAGAATCCGAAAACCGAATTGCTCCATCACCCTGAAATAATTCGAGTGGTTCAGGCCAGTTAGAACACTATTTTTATCATACAATATATATTTTGTATTATACAATTTACCGAATTAATTTTGTGGTGACTATAGCAAAAGTCGTGAAGCGATTACATAGAAAGCATAGAACATAGAAGATCATTTTCATTAAAAATGATTAAACGATGTCACAAGCCCTTTGCTAACGATAGTGTTGAATAGAAATTATTACAAGGTGTCTCTCGACACCTTCGGTAGAAATAGTGTTAAAAAACGTTACACCGTTTTAGAAAATGTTGGCTGAGTTTTGCTCCTCGCTGTATATGTAGCTCGTTTGTTTCGCTTTCCACGTGTAGGGAGTGTAATTAAGAGAATTACTTCATTTCCACGAAATACGAGAGGGGGTACTGTGCAAAGCAAAGTAAAGCGCATCAACCAGTAGAAATAAAGATCGCCAAGGGTTCAATACCTGTTCGGCAACTTCAAACATTTCGTAGCCAGCCTTGAGTTTCAAAGCGTGATGCGCTACGAGAAATCGGTGTCACGTCGAACTAATGCGAAAACTTTGAAATTTTAGAAGTGGCGTCCGCTTATCAAGCGTCTTTGCTGGTGGTGGAGGGCTCCCAGTTGGCTGGATTAATGCATTCAAACATAGCGTCGCTGGCTGCAGCCTGCTTGGACAGTTCTTGCCCGTTGCTGGCGTACACCAGCACGGCAGGAGAGCTGAATTTAAAGTTATACCTTACCGACGGGAATCATCATCCTGTGACCAGGGACCTCGTGCACGTTGGCACTCAGGTCGCCAGGGCAGGGGCGTTCATGCACGGCCGAGGACTCTTACACAGGTAATTGTCTTCGTCACTTAATGCTGTGCTTTTAACCCTTGGGAAATGTAAAGAGTTTCGCCGACTCGGTTAGAAAGTACCAAAAATTATGCATCTGGAGTGCTTCGGGCATTTTTTAATATTACGTTTATAAATGCAAGAAAAGTGGAAGTTAGTCTCAGGACTTACTAAATTAGACCTTCTGGTGTTAAGCGCAGCCCCCTTTTCATGAAAATATTGCATTAGCATACACAGATTTATAAATAGACTGCTAATCTTCGTGCAAAATAAGAGATGTCTAAGTTATCTGTGCGAAAGATAAATTATATGAAAATGTTCATTCGCTTTTACTAATTGTAATAAGATGCAAAACGTGTCACGATATTCTTAAACTCTTGTAGCGTCCTTCCAACCATAAATATGTAAAATCAGCAATCTGCAATATACAAATAGTCATAGGTAACATATATGTATAACTACCCAGAAGTGACATTTCCAAATGAACAATTACTGTTTTTCAGTAATTTTAAGCGATAATTAAGTCGATAGTAAACGTTGATTTTTTCTGAAGGTTCGCTGTAAAAACGTTCTTATTTCTCTTCATTAAAATGAACCTTGAATTTTATATTACGATAGAGATATATCATTACATATTAATATATTACAGATTAAAAACAAAATAGATGCATTTTAGTAAACTTCCTTTTTACTATACATATAATTCTAATATTTTTTATGACCCTAAAGACTCCGATGAGATACTGTTAAGAACGTGAATACAACGAAGCCGCCTTTTTCCTGAGCATCGAATTTTTGTAGAATATTTTTATAGAATACTTTTGTACCGCATCTGCGCTGACCTTGCTCTGAGAAATATGAGAATCTAACCAAACGATTGTTTTAGGGATATCGCCGCCCGAAATTGTCTGATCGAGCCGAGCAGTCTTCGAGTGCGGCTAGCTGACACTGCTCTGGCGCGAGATCTCTTTCCTCAGGATTACCATTGTCTTGGCGATAATGAGAACAGACCCATTCGCTGGATGGCCTTGGAAACACTCCAGCACAATCAATACAGCACGGCTACGGACGTGGTATGCTCATAATTTGTATCGGATGCCAATAAAACGTTGACGCCTCGGCGTCTGCCGGAGACAACGAGCGATCGGCTTCCAATAAAATTCAGGAGTAAACGAGGATTCCGGTGTACATGGTTCTACGTACGTTCCCAACCTATCGAACTTTATTGCACCGTGTTGCGATTTTATGCGCTTTGTCGCGCCGTAACTTAACGCATCGCCTCGTTGCGCTCCGGCATCCTACTATCTCAAGGTTTTCGACAATAGCGAAACGGGGCGCTAACTACATTTTGACAGAAATATCGAGGATTGGTGGAACACAGGATGGTAGAAACATAGAGATCTGATCGATCTGTGGCAGCGATTCCGAACATTTATGGGAACCTGTTCGCGCGACGTCCACTTCGCCACATTCACAATCGGAAAGATTGTAATTGGACTTCGGATTTCTGTTTGGAATGCAAAACAGTGAACGGATTGAAAGGCTTTCAGGATACTGTTGCATTATTTTCAATCTATTACACTAATTTAGAAAAGAAACAAATTTATGTTTTACTTAATTTAATGCAATTCAGGTAGATAATTTTTATTTTGCAAAAATGTCCACGGTCTATTTGAAATAGATCTACAGGAAATGTCTATCCAATTTGAAGAACCGTTTTCAACAAAAATTACATTTCTCATTTTGCTACACTTATGCGGGATATACAGGCTGTCCCAAAATTATGTTACTTCCGCGAAATGAGGAATGCCTGAGGTCATTCGAAGTAACTTTTTTCTTAGCACTAAATGCAATCGCTTTGTTTACGAGTTATTAACGAAAAACACTGACCAATGAGAGGTCGCGTACGGTTGACGCCCCGCCCTCGCGACCATTGCCGCTGCGTCGGTCGCACACGCTTTCCGATTGGTCCGTGTTTTTCGTTAATAACTCACAAACAAAGCCGCGGATTGCATTTTTGCTAAAGGAAAAGTTACTTCAAATGATCTCAGGAATCCCTCATTTCCCGGAAGTACCATAATTTTGAGATACCCTATAAAATAGCAACTTGCCTGATGAAAAGTATATAATGACGTCATGATTAGACGGCGGATCGTTATGCAAAGTCGCATTTTCACACGTCGTTTGACAAAAATGATAATTAATGGAAGACTTCCTTCCATTGGAAGAGAATACTCAACTGAAATATTATTCATTGTAAAAATAAAATAGAAATAAAATTGGATCTTGTCAATCTATACATTCTGTTGCAATTTAAGGATTTGCACATACCGTGAATAAATAATGATCCAGTCATAAATGACATACGCATCGATAGAACGGCAAAAACCTCCATTTTCGTCAAAATTTAACCTTTTAGGCACGACGCGCCACTATAGTGGCTTCCGCGGATGTCATCTCTCTGGACGACGCGCCACTATAGTGGCTTACTCTAGTAGCTTAATCGGTCATCGTTTGAATCAAATAATCGTCTTCATATGCATTGTTTCACACTTCTTTTGTCTTCGCATCGATTTACAACAGTCTACAGGGTGTCCCAAAAATGTCTCGCAATCCGGAAATGGCGGGTTCCTCGAATCATTTGAACCAACTTCTTCCTTTACAAAAATTTTCTCCGAGGCACCGTTAACGAGTTATCAACGAAAAACAGTGACCAATAAGAATCGAGTACGGCTGACGCGAGGCGGCCCAGCCAGCCAGCGCGCGAAGCCCAGTTCCGCTCATTGGCTCGATCGCCTCGCGCCAGCCGAGCTCGCCTCTCATTGGTCACTGTTTTTCGTTAATAACTCGTTAACGGCGCCCCGGAGAAAATTTTTGTAAAGGAAAAAGTTGCTTCAAATGGCCCGAGGAATCCGCCACATTCGGATTGCGAGACATTTTTGGGACA